TAACTGAATTCGTTATGTCGCAATTCACAAAATGACAAGTTTCACTGCTTCAATTTTGGCCAAAGTAATTTAGATAATTTTGCACATTCTATATTTTACATTAAGTACTTTAATTTTGGACATTATTTTACACAAAATTTACAATTTACTTTCCTTTTTCACTAAGCGCCTCTTTAATTGTAAATTGCTTTCTCCAACTCTCAGAAGGTCTGTAATATTACAAAATCGCCCTCTTTACAAAGAAGTTTAAGGCAGAATATAAAAAACTAATCTATTTTCCAGTCCCGAAGAAGAGTTCATAGCAGTCTTCAGTAGTTTGATTTCACTTGTAATGACATACACTCTCCATACAGGATAATCCTCTTACGCGTTTTGAAGATGGTCTAGAAAGTATTCAGGGGTCATTAGGAGTCTGAAAATGTACACTAACCTTGAGAGGTATCCCAACCGCGCAATCCATGGGTACGCAAGAATATCAGCTTCCTTCCCATTGACAATGCGATCATTGCCTGGAGGGCTGCAGTACTCTTGAGGCAGCAACTTGAGGTTTGGGTGCCCACTTACATCCGGCGGGGTGCTGTTCGCTTGCCCATCTGGAGGTCGATCGGTCATCGACTGGGTGGGAGGCGGGTTGGGGCGACCGGTCGGACGTGTTGGGGGTGGGGCAGGGGCTGGCGGTTGCGAAGATCCGTCCGTGCAGCAGACGATAGGCACACTGCCGTGGAACCCACAGCGTAGGTTGTTCAAAAGAGACAGGTTTTCCTAGAGTAGAAAAATCAGGTTCATTTTAAAAATCACCTTTCCAAAGTTCAAGGCTAGCGTAATTTGTAACAAGCATAAATTGAGGAATACTTTCAGAAAACGGATTAATGTTAATTGAAATATCCACAAATCCATTAATATAAACATTATTATTATTATTATTATTATTATTATATTATTATTATTATATTATCATTATTATTATCATCATCATCATCATCTAAATTCATGACTAAAGACGTCAGTCTCAAGGTACCGTCGTCATGGACACGAACATACATATAGTTTTCCAACTGGTCTTCATTCAAAAGCGTCAATTCCCAATATGGTGACAAGTTTTGTGCTTGGTGAAGTCTACATTGTGAAAATCATTGGAAATATATTACCACAAAAGATACGGTTTTGAGATTCAACATTTTGTACGGAATTCTCCAACATTTATGAGATTAAACATTTATGAGGTTGAACATTTATAAGGTAAAACCAACATTTAAGAGGTTAAATCCATAACATATTGATTTATCAGTCAGGTAAAATTCATAACAAATTTTCAAAGCATAGCGCTCATCATAGTGTTAACCAGTATTTCCTATATGAAAATAATAGATAACCTACATTTATATTTTCCTCTCAGTATTTTTAGGAACGTTTAAAAGATTTTCTGTCTTTATGGACAATATATAAAATATTTAATGATAGAAACGAGTATATATTCATTAGAGAATAGTAATTCAAATCAAAATATGACTATTGCAACACTGACTACGTCACTTAAGTTATTGTAGGAAAAAACACACTAAGGAGAGAAGTGCGGTTATTTATTCGATAAATTGAAGACGTTTCTACAATTTTCTTGTGTTTCTCATTTTCATATTTACAGCACTTTTAGCATTTTAATTTTTTTCTCTACCCCTTTGAGGGGCATGCCCTGCCTCGATTCATCTTCCACTGCGATTATATCAGTAACACATCCAACAACTAGAGTTAAGCATCTGAATTTGTTTTGAAAAAACACGTCGTATTTCTTTGCTTTTAGTGCATTTTAAAAAATATTAAGAATTTTTTATTGATTATTTCTGGCGATGTTTTATGTCTTGAAAATCCGCCCCTCCGTTATTATATTTCCCAATCCCAGGTATACTATATAAAATGCTCGACTGTGAATCGAGTGTGGTCGGTAAATTAAGATAGTTTTTCATTCAAAATGTTTTGGTCAAATGTGTTTTATTACAGATTATGTAGAATGACGTAGTCGAAACTCAGCTCGTGCTGCGATACGATTTTATTTGTTTTAATGATTATCCGAAAATATTTTTACGGATTATAGAGAAAGTTATATGTAATGCTGCAGGAAAAAACGGGCAAGTTTCAGCAGAAAAAACTCTCTATTACAGGGCCCTGGCAAGGAAAGAGTGGATAAATACAGTTACCAAAATAAAAAATCCTCCAACACGTGGTGTAGCCAGAATACATGTTTTTTAATTCCATGATACATGAACAACGGTAGAGGCTAAACAGTTCTGTCGATTTTCTCAAAAATTTATTTTTTACAATCTATCTGGCTGATGTCGTGGCTCCTTGAATTTGAAACAGTTAATTCAATTTTTGGGTGACTTTTACATGCAGCGGGGGACATTTTCAAATTAAAAAATTAATGGTTTCATTTATGACTATTTTTTGGTTAGATTTTGTAAAGGATGTTTAAGAGGAAGGTGTAGTACTCATGTTCGTTGAAAATCCTGATTTTAGGAAAACTGCAAAAGTTTAAAATGTTTTCGGAGTCTTCCTACAACTAAAATATTACACAGAATCTGCTTCTTAAAGATAATTTTAAAACAACGTCATTTACAATTTTTTAAAAAAATTTTAGTAATTTCCGCGTAATTACAGGCAATTTTTAATTTTGTACAAACAATCTCAAAAGCGGCTCCATACTTTTTGATGAAAAATTTTTAGTGCATAGTCTGAAGGACGTTTAAGATAATTGTGTTGGCCTCATTTTGGTTGAATACCCCGATTTAAAAAAAATATTTTCGCTACCTTTTCGAAAATATCAAAATTTCAAAAACCTTGACATGGTGCAAATATTTTGTTTGAAAATAAGGGCGAGATTGTACTTGCTATTTTAGCACCATTAGTTACTTGCAAGTTTCGGGAAAATTAAAATTAATAAGTTACTGAAATATTTTTCTCGGGGATTTTACTCATCCCCCCCGTGAATCCGCAACTGATTGAAGTGAGTGAAATCTCGCATGTTGGGTGGGGTAAGGTTTCGAATACGCTGGTAAGAAATAAAGCTCATAGCACCTACTTTCATTCATTAATAGTTTCATTGGTTCGTATTAGTTTCCCTAAAATTATCGGCAACTTTTCTTGATATGAACTATTGGATTTAAATTAAACAGATTTTCAACTGAAAATAAAGTAACAACCTTTCCACAGGGAAATTAGACTAAAACACATACGTAAACTTTGAATAATTCATTTCGGCCTAGATACAGTAATGTTTGTGGAAAACTTGAATTTCCTTCCAATATTAATGAAATCTTTCTTGAATTTTGAAACAAAAGGAAATTTACGATCTTACGCGTTATCAAAAACCTGTACATCCCAGTTCCTCCCTTCGGAGCACAAATGAGGTGGAACGGGGATAGAGCGGGAGTGTCAAGGAATGTCAACATTACTTGCATTTTGAATAAGATATAATTTATTCTGTTTCTGTCTTATAGAGGTTAATGATAAATAAATGACGGACAACGTCGAGCTACTTCAGTATGTAACAAATAGCATGCCATCTTTTCATACCACGTCATGAATTATGAATGTTAACTTCTGTAAATTCAATATGTATTTACATTGTTATACGTTTTAGAACACTATACCACAATTAAATATTTTGGGTGTGAGATCTAATCAATAGCAAATGGCATTGTCCATCTCAAATGAAAATTTTGATGTAAAACAGGCCTGTAGGTAATACTAAAATTGGTCTCAACGAATCTTTTGTAGGCAAACCATTTATCTTTAACTCAAATTGTTCGGTTAAGAACGAAACGCGATATGGAGAGGGTAAGGCTGGAGCGAGAGGTTTGCGTATCGTAGCATCAACGCAGAGAGGTTTGAGCATCGTGATTAACTCGTGTCGAGAATCTGGCCACAATCTGACACGAACCCTAAGACCTACCGGTGAGAGGCACAGCAGTAACGCCAATTGTGCTTTGAACCACCTAAGACGGTGGCTCTGGTATCGAAGCCAGAAGTCCTGAAGGCGTTTGGGTTAACGGGCTGAGTATGAGCTCAAAGACAGACAGGGCAAAAGCGCTCCCGCGCGCCCCACTCGGAGGGGCCGAGGTTCGAAGCCCCGCTCACCTGCGACGGCCGCTGCGCCACCAGCGCGAGCAGCGACGGGCAGGCGTTGATGTTGCGGCAGGTGCCGGCCTCGCCCCGGGGCGTGCGGCAGTCCTCCCCTTCGCGGGAGAGCGCGGGCGCGGGCGCGGGCACCGCGGCCGCCAGCGAGGAGCACAGCGCCGCCCAACACAGCAGCGCCCGTCCTCGGCCGCCCATGGCTGCAACCCCGCACCGCCACACATCAAAAACCCTTTCGGGACCCTCGTACAAACAAAGTACGTGACACTGCGTCATTGTTCGGTGAACCTTCCTACAAGAATACATGATCCGGATATGCTTCCTTCATTTCCTGAAACTGCATCTAGTAAACAAGAGGACTAGTAGTTTGTTTGGAATTATTGGAGAGGGGGGTAAATTTTGGGGCGGAGGAGTGTCTTAGGGGGAATAAGGTTTCTTGGTGGTTTCACAGGGGTGGGAGAGAACTGGTTTAAAACGACGACGTTATTGATTGTGGCATCTGATTAGTAAACAGTTGTAGTGTCACAAAAAAAAGATGTGACTCTTATAATAAAGAAACATCAATATTAGTTCTTAACAACACAATAGAGAAATCATAAAACAACCTGAAAAACGAAACAATTTCAGAGAAAAGACTATAAAAATTTATTTTATATTTCAAAAGCCAATTTTGAATTATTAGTTACTAATCATAGAACTTAGGGGTCGAAAAATAGAATCAACGGCAATATTTTTAAGAAGAAGGAGAGATTAAATATATTGGGATAATGTAATATGATAGTAGAATAATAAGAGGCCTATACCAATTCCAAGTACACATAAGAAAAACTAAACTGAAGCTGTCTTTCAACAACGCTAGCCATCGAAACGAAAACATAATGAAAAGTAAAGGGGAAAAGGAAGAAGAATAGAAAAAAGAAGTAGGAGTTGCAGAAACACAAAGTAAAGTTATATTAGAAGAGTATTAATGATAGGAAAAATAATATAAATTAGAATAAGGAAATGAGAAATACAAGCACCAGGATGACGAGAAAGACAAGAACAAAGGAGCCAAAAGAAATGAAACGGACAAGTTTAAAAAAGGAAGTTAAAGAAGTAAAGATGGAGTTGAAACTGAAGTAGCAGAATAAGTGAAACAACCAAGTAGAAGAAGCAAACTGCGCAGCAACAGACTAAATGGAATTAACAGAGGAAATGTAGAAGAGGCAAGATATAGAAGGGCGATCAGGCCAGTGAGCAAGAGGAAAAAAGTAAAAGTCAAAGCGGCGTCAGCGGCGCAGAGCGAGCAGCGCCAGAGCGCGTACCTGCGTCGTCGGCGCCTGACAGTGGCGAGGAAGAGGTCTAGGCCGCGACCCGGGGCGTGCGGAGCCGAGCTGAGCCGAGCCGAGCTGAGCTGCTACGCGCCGTGTGGTCGCGGGATGGCCTGGTCGACGACTGCGCCATTCCTTCCTTCGCCTCCTCGCGAATCGCGGCCGTTCGCGGACGCGTCCCGCGGGCCGCCGCGCCGGCCAACCGGTTTCGCCTCTCGAGCGCGAGGCTGCCGCCGCCACCCGTGCGTCAGAGAGGCGCGTCGCCCAGCGCTGCCACTGCGCCGCAAGGAAAGACTCGCACTGCGCAAGGGGCTTCCCCACTTCACTTTCCCGGACTCCTCCGACGGAACGACCTCCGCTTACCTCCGCCGGTTTCCCTAATTCTTCCACTAAGTGTGCGTAATTTTTCGAATAAAAATATGACGATGAGAACCGGCAGAAAATGTGATTCGCTGATGGACACGCACACCCTACAATAGTGATTCATTTCTTTATGATTAGTTTCATCAGGTAACGTCACTGGTTCTATAAATGTAGAGCACGCTTTCTCGTGTAAGGTGGCGGTGATCTTCCTCCGCAGGATTGCGAGATCCAGCGCAGACGTACACTTCCGGATGCGGGTTTTCCCCATCCAGGTCTCTCTCACCAGAGGGGCACCGCTCCAGCCCCGAAGTTCCCCAATGGCCTCCCGACATGTAGTGTAGACCATGCAAGCGTAAGTACGTGTGTATGTGCGGTACGTGCGTGTTTGTGTATGTGTGTGTAAGGGATGTAAATAGGACAAGAATGAGGAAGGAAGCTTCATGCGTGGTCTGTTGCCCGTTTTTTAGGGTACTGCTCCGGCATTCGCCTGGAATCGATGAGAACAGCCGGCCGCTAGCATTCTGTTCCACATAGAAGCTCAATTAGACCTCGCTAGCTAGTGTATAAAATCCTGCCACCTCGGGAGTGGAACCCTAGAACCTCTCGATCAGAGGCACTGCAGTGACAATTTATGCCCTGAGCCACCTTAGCCGGTTTGACTCCACACATTCTGCAGGGGTTTCTCAGAGAAACGTCTAATTTCTCATCTCTACGGTTATTGTATTTTTTAAAACGTCCAAATTTTCATTTCTCAGCCAAGAAGTTATACACATTACGCAACACAAAATCAATCAAGATTGAGAAAAAACTTCAATTTCTCTGGTATATTACATGAAGGTAACATATTTCCCTATTTAAAAAAAATCTTGAGAAGTTTCTCTCTCATGGAAAGATTAGAACAACACAGATCTCACATTTTACTGATAAAGGGCCAATAGTAACCGAGAGCTTTGCTGGTTAGTGATAATACAAATAAATTTGTATTCTGTAATGTAGAATGCTTTCGCGGCCAGTCTTTCGCATAATCTTTGCTGTCCCGGTGACGCCGCATTCATGACCGATGACGTTTTGGCCTTATCAGGTCTTCATCAGGGCTGAAGTACTTCAACTCTTGGCATCACAGCTTTCGACGCAACGTCAACCGAACAGCAAACACCATTCAATTTGAATTCATCCCTCGATGTCTCGTTAGAGACTGGCACCGCGAAGGTATACGATACCTAAATGGATCATTGCCTTTTATGAAAAGAAAGAATATGTTCCATGAAAATTCAAACTAAAGTGTTTACAATTGCCAAGTATTTTAAATATGTACATAGATTAGCTCGGAAATACTGAACAACAATTTTTTGAAATTCGTCCCCGTACTCTTACTCCCACTGCCTTAAAATATAAAGGAATAAATACAGTGATTTTCCCCCAAATTAATCACGGTTGTGTAAAGTGTAAAATGTATTTTGTAGATAAATATAAGTGAAAGCGATTCTTTCAGGGCAAGCATTGCGTGCTAAAAGCGCAATTTTTAGTTCTTGTGCTAAAAGCGAGACGATGCTCAAGTGTTCAGGTAAATCTGAACGCAACAAAGAAAACAAAATACTTCCGTCTGACGGCATCAGCTACTACTGACCGTAATGTATCATTAAGTAACTTGTTCTTGAATGAAATTAAAATGACGTCAAGAAGACTGTCTAAAAAAAGAGTATGGCACATTGTAAAAGTGATTCATTTTGCTCGTATAACTGCGCTAGTCGGTCTATCGGCCTCGTGTTGTAACATTACCTACTCGCAAAATAAAATATCAAATTTACGACTCGCATTAAATAATTAATGCACATTTAAAATATCCACAATACAGGAAATTCAGTCCACTTAGGTCTACTTAGGTCCTACTTATAAGGCGGTCATTTAGAGGAATTATAGACACCGCCTTGTAAATTTACCACTTTAATTGGTTTTATCTCGAAAGATCATCGCTGGTAACGCCGTCGATAAAGAAAGTAACGAAACTCGAGGTCGCTAGTGAGTAAGCTGCAAGGCATGAACATGCTTGAGGAAAACAAGTGGAGGCCTCCACATTCTCAGCAAGATGAATTCGGTCCTGCAATGGACAGAAACATACTACCTAAAAAAGTTCAAACGCGAAAAGTCGTTTAAAAAACGGTTTTCATTTGCGACAATTTTTTGAATTCCAAATGTCTAATACAGATCCTAAGATTACGAAATGGTTGGTTGTAATAAATTATGAGGCTTTGCAGGTATTAACGTTATTAAGCAGATATCACATAACAGACTCATTATTTTGTGCTATCGGTTGTGTGGGTCAACTGTCTTTGTAGAACCTTGTAAGAAAAAAAAACTTATAAACATTTCTCAAAATAAGGGTACTCATACGACATCATTTGCTACAATTCATCTATTTTTATTGTTATTAATGAACGGGAGACTTAAATCTTTGACGGATGCTGTCCATTAAGAGGGATTTTCAGACATTTTTGGGTAAGTCAAAAAAAATTTACAGTGTTAACAACTGTTGTACAATTTAACATTCACTTTTCTACAATGCATTGGTTTCGTACAACAAAGGCTTCCTTGCTTCCTCTGGTTTGTGTTCATAAGTGTCAAAAGGTTTCATTACTATTCTTCTTGATAAGAATTATTGTCCAAACTTTTACAACTCACCATCGGTGAGGCTGAACATTCTTGCTCAATTGAAAAATGTGTTAGTATTCATTAAAATGAGAAGACCTTTTCTCGGTAAACATGAAGATGCACACGTATGCTCTTTTTTCCTTCTGTTCTTCTTAGTCCTGTTTATGTAACCAAATTTTACTCAGAAATTGTAAAATGGAAGAAGTTCATTCCTGGAACAAAAGCAGAAAACGCGATATATTTTATATCAAAGGCAAAATTTTAAAATGTTCAGAAAGGGACATTCTTAATACTAAAGTGTAATACTGAATATTTAATAATAAATACTTTAAAAGTACTGAGGACGGGTCGCAGAGGTAAGAGAGATTCGTGTATTTAGAGAGAAAAGGTGGTTGAAAGTGATGAACAAAACATAACAAAATAAATAAATCATTTAAATTTAGTTGTATGTGTCCCGTTGAATATGCCGCAGCAGTCTTCCTCCGAAATAGACACCGAAAGGTGTTCCAAAATCGCTGAAGATCCGAGAGAAATATTGGCTTGTTTACATGTAATGTGAGTTCGCGTTACTAGAGGATTGCGTAAGAGTTTGCCATCATTACCAACTCGTTCCATTGGCAAAGATTTTACAACAGAAAAATCTCGTTCCCAGGAGGAATTATGGACGGAAAAGTTCTCTCCACATTTTAGACGTGAGTACGAGGATCACAAACTAGATTCTTCAGGAGATGAAGGACCTTCTCAAATATCGCCAAAATACAACACATTTCATTGTTTCAAAAACTTAACTTCATATTATGGATCAAGATAAAAAGTTAACCTCCACTGAGAATAACATAACACCGAATTAGATATGGAATTCTCTACTTTATTGAACTCAACCTCTTAAGTTTTATCTATTGTTCCATACTTTTTAGAGTTGCAGTAATTCTTCTCTATCACTAGAGCTTCTTTATTTTTTACGATTGAAGATTAACGGTATTTGTACTAATATTCAATATTCCTAGACATTTTAATCACTAAATTTCTGCCGACTTCGCACGAAAACTAACTTTTCTTTATTGGTACAGTAGTAGAGGCATTCGAAATATATTTTTACGCTGTATCCTCAGTTACAATTTGCCGTGTACCCGGAGATCCGGGTTCGGTTCTCTCAATGGATAGAAATAATTAAAATTATTTTGATTTATGCTTTTGAAGTCGAATACACTATAGATATACTAAATACATATCTAACTGAGGCACTCAATTCTTTAAACAGTCAAACCATATTCGAAACCTTACTTCCGCAACGAAATAATGGGTTCGCAACAGAAATTGACACTGCGGACACGAAACATTCTCGTGTAAAACATAATTGTGGCCAGGTGGTGAAATGTAAAATGATTACTATAATAATCACTATACAAAATTTCAGTAATTATAATAAATAATAAAAATAAATAATAATAATAATATGAATGCAATAATTGGGATGATAAAGTAGTTAGTCAGTGATCAAGACAATCCACTAATGGGGATGGTCATTAAATCTGACGAAGGCATTGTAAGTGTAGCAAACATTGCGAAGAAAACCATACAGGACACTCAGAATAACACATACCCTGAACTTCTAATGCTACTTAACACCAACTGTGTGACACAAAAATTGTAAGAAATTGTGGTGAGACTAACCACTCCATGGACATTACCTAAAAAGAAACTACTAGGTGTCATCAATAAAGATCAATAATTTATGAGGCTTATAAGGGCATGAATGAAGCCAGAATATGAAACAGTTGTAATAGCTGCCCAAGATCAGGTATTTAGAACACTACAATCTGATCAAGCATTCTCAAAATTGTTCTAGATGATAAATACTGCATTTGGCAGGAACACGTAGAAAACCTAGATCATTGTCTTAGCTTGTCCCGTTCTAGCAAAGATCGAATACATGAAAAGACAAGGTAAGGGGTGGAGTTACCCCTAGTGGCAGATCTTTACTACCCTCAAAGTTTCAAACACTTACTCCAAGTGGTACGAACATTCACCAAAACAACGGTGTCTTCTGTTGGACTGTGTACAATACTGTACAACCTTTGATGGTGCATCCAGTCTAATTCTTCAAAGAAAACTCTAAATTACATATTTATGTTCTTAGAATTCTCAAAGAATACAATTAATTATTGTTAGTAATTTAATTACAATTAATCACTATTTATCTGCAAATTAATTAACAAAATGTTCATGACCTATAAAAATATGAAACATTAAATTCCAATATAAAAAACAAGATGTATTTTAACAAATTTGTACAATATATTATTTGAACAATTAAGTAACTTCAAAAACTTCAGAGATCAAAAAATTTATAATTAAAATGTTTATTAGTCACTGGAATTAATATTTGTTTCTTGTCATATTTTTCTTTCTAATGAAGAGATCAACAATGAATACATTTATCAGCAAATATTGTTGTAGAAATGGAAAACTCAACAGTAGAATTTTTAAACAATTGGAAAATTACAATTCAATCTCACTCTCGAAAGTCACAAATGTCCACATATAAGCGAGTATGAAAAAAAATATGATCAGTCGAAATTTGCTCAGAAAAGCTGCCATTACAAACAAAATGAACAAGATTATTCAATTAAATTTTTATGTCCACTATTTTTTTTAAGTCCACTAATTCATATCAAAAGGGATTCAACATTAAATTGGAAAAGCATTTAGTGAAGAAAAGGAACGGACAAATTAAAAAATAAGGATTTTGTAGCTTAGACATTCCAGTGCAAAAGAATTGCAACGAACGTTGGTCCTTTTTCTGAAGACTTGCCGTAAATAGTAGTTCCACATACAATTCAAACATTTTGTATTGAATTAAAATATTTCATTATGTATGAAAGTTTAAATTAAGTACAAGCAGTGTTCTGACATTCCAGAAATGCCAAACCTTTCTGCAAATGATCCAAAATAGTTTTTAAGATGAGTTTTGTCTTCTGCAAAATCTCTAAGATCTTACCAAATCCACATATACTCTTAACATCACTTATTTAAACCTGCCCTTAACATTCTTGTTGAAGTTTAGAAGACTCACGTGCATACGGCGGAATTTAAAAGAAAAATCATTTGTCAATATTCCTACAGACTAGACTTTATTCAATCTTACAATGATTGGATTTCACACTTCATGCTGCTTTTAACATGCTTCCTTCAAGGTAATTTGAGTTTGGAATTGCTCCTCAAGTTATCTAAAAAAAATGTAATGCCATTTGAATTCCACTGAAGCGAGAGACGCGCACATTCATTGGCTCTTCAAATGTGCTCAAATATTCTGAGATTTGTTTACTTGACACTCACTGAACAAACAAATATTTCAACATTTTTCAACGAAAACAACTATCGTTATATCAGATCTTAAAGTCTTGACGAAAATCTCAATTTAAAAAATTCATTTCTATTTACTACTCCAATCCGGTTCGCAAGCACAAACGCCCTACAAGTGATCCACGTGCAGCTGTGCTCAGGGTCTAATAGTGTCCAGAATCCACTTCATGTAGTAAGCGACACGGGTGTAGACCCCAGGCACGCCCGCCGTGCCACACTCATTGTGGCCGAAGGAGACGATGCCGAAGAGGACCTGCTTGGACTCCGAGCCCACGTCCGCCTCCAGCACCAGCGGCCCGCCGCTGTCCCCGTTGCACGAGTCCATGCCCGCCACGCCCCCCGCGCACAGCTGCTGCGGGATGATCTCCTTCTCCAGGCCGGGCTGCGGACATTCAGGCGGACCTCGCTTATTAGACTGGTGGAGTCATGATTCCGGGCGCGGAAACTGCACAAGTCCCTAGTTTCGAAGTTTTGACTCCCAAGGAAAATCTTGTTTTAATAACAGAAAAGAAATAGAAACCTGCATTTTAAATGCGACATGAATTATGGTCGTTAAGAAGTTTTTGAATGCAAATTTACAAAGTTGGTTGGTTTCCAAAGTTTATATTAATTATAGCTCCTAATGAATGTAAAAGCGATCCGATGTTGGGACAAATCTTTGCGATGTCATTTGGTTCTCGATTGATTAGTATGTGTGAAAATTTCTTTCTGATTCCGGCGTATAATCACTGTGCCATATTGCGATCATGAACTGGTAATGATGGGAACGATAAAGCATCCCATATTTGACCAGTATCATCATCTCAGTTTCTCATTACTTATTGCCTCACACTTCATATTTCGCGCGGAATACAACAGAAGAAAAATATAAATTCGGATTATTCAGATTTTTTCCCCATAATATTTCACTATCCTGCTAAGGTGGCATATAAATATGACGAAAATTAAGAATTATAAGAGCGATAAATCCCACATACGCATCGTGAATTTCGATCTATCGTGTGGCGTTACCCCTACAAGTTGCGAAAGTAACGTGTAATGAGAAGCCAGCTCACCTGCATGAAAACCTTCTTGCACTGCTCGTAGGGCATGACGGGCAGCAGCACGTCCTTGAGCGCGTTGCTGCCCTCCTTGTCCTCGGTGAGACCCCACCCCGCGGCCACCAGCGGCCCGCTCAGGCGCAGCAGCTGGTTGTCGCGGCTGCTGGGCAGGCACACGGGCCGCACGAACTCCTCCCTGAGGAAGTCCACGGGCGCGGCGAGGCGCGCCAGCGCGATGTCGTGGTGGCTGCCCACGTCCTTCGGGTCGTACAGCGGGTGCACCTTCGTCTCCTCCACCTGCACGTCGATAGGCGGCGGCAAGCACGCGCCGCCGGGCCTGCGAACAAGCATTCTTTGCTTTGCAATTCGTCGCTTTGTGATTTCTTTCCTAAGCATGAAAAGAAACCAATCTCAAACTTTATAAAACAATGGACAAACTTACTCCTCGGTTTGGACGACGAAATCATCGGTAACATCTAGGAAAAACAGGGAATTAACTTCAGAGGAAAGATTCCCAAGCATCGATTCCCAGGCAATCGCTTCCCAAGGCATCGATTCCCAAGGCTATCGATTCCCATCTTTTTCACGAATTCTAAAGATGCGAATTCTCCTTCACGGCAAAAGGTAGAACCACATCATATGGAGAAGTTAAATCGTAAACTTCATTGTGATATGTAAGCATGAATTTGTAATCTGTCTTTATGGTAAGAAAAAACATAATTATCGTAATGTACAAAACGTAACATAATTTATTAAAAAACTTATGCATAATATTAAAAAAGTATAATAGAGTATTGAAAACAAAATTCCGTAGATCACTGGATAAAGTAAATATCTTACAAAATCAAATCACATTTTCGAAGTAAATAGTATGGATTAAAGTTAAAGCTTCTTCGATATCTTATTAGCGACTATTCCAAGAACAATAGATTATTATACCACGGAAAACATATACAATAAATAAGAAACCAATGTTAAGAAAGTTAAACCGTCTTAATTACCAACATTAGATTACAGTGTTTGGATAGCATAATCAGCAAAAAAGAAGCTTCACAACAAACTGTTCAAATTTCTCTGTCCGGTCTTTCTATTCATTCACATGTGTCAATGCCGTGAACCGATGTATTATGGAGACCAGTTAATTCATCTGAATGCAGCAGATCTACCCTATTGACAGTTTATTCTTTAATGTGTGCTGAGGACAAAATCTTTCTTTCATCCAAATCGAATCATTAAACATTAATCCCAAAAGAGTTAAATCTGCAAAAAGCTCGTCTGCTGAAAATTCACTAGATATGAATCATTAAAAAAACTAGAAACTACCATTTTGATCCTACTAGTGGACTTCTAAGAGTCCACTGGCAAGTTTTTTGGTATTTATGGAATCCACGTTTCAATGAATAAAAAAGATGCATAAAAGGCGCCACATTTTCCATTTTCACTTGCAAACTTACCAGCAGTTTAAAGCCAATTAGACAAATACAGCACTCATGACTGCTGCAAGCTAGGATGACAAATCAATAATAGGGTAATCTTACCTGCAATCTATTGCTTGTTATAGGTGTGTTGCGAGCTCCGGTCGACAAATACACGCAGTTTGCGTGATATGCAGTGGCACCGTCAGCACGTAGGCGCGAGTTTCATCAGCGACCCTCCACCAGAAGATATCGACAGTTCTCCCAAGTTTTGATCTTCTGCGTTTCAAAAAGGAATGGTACATGTTGATAAATATATGAGTATCTACCACACATGGTATATGTGAATAAGTGGAAGAAAGATCTCACATTATCTAAACCTTCTTTTATTAAAAAAAATAATTCATGAATATTGTTGAAATTAGATGTGTTGTTAATTGTATAGTTCCTTTTACAATACTGTTATCCTGCATAATGACTCAGTCACTATTTATAAGATAAAAATGATCATCCATCTTTACTTCACTATAAGGATATATTGAAACTCCTAGGTCCAGACATTTTCTAAAAGAAATGATAAAATCCCTCTTCGTTTCTAATATAATTTCCTACCAAAGCGAAGGGCGTCGAGGTAAGATATTTTGCAGATATTTAACTTCCTATACAACAGGTCACAAGAGCCACGAGGCGAATGTATGATCTCTAATACATATATCTCAGTAAATTAGATTTGCTGTAAATACACCCGCGATCGTGGTCATTTGGCACGTAAGTTCAGTGCCCTGCCCGCAATTGTGGCTTAAGTGGTTGGGCAGCTGGTTGGCAGTTGCGGGAACAGGGGAGCAGTCGGCTGTTGCCCATTGTGGACAACGTCGCGGAATAAAATACTTGAGCGTTCAATAGTTGATCAACGTGCAACATTTATAACATGAAAGGCCATTCAAATTTTTTTCTCTGCACTGCAATGCATGAACATATTTTTTTTTCAGTTTATCATCATTTCAGTCCCAACACACACAAAAGCAATGGCCGTCTTTATAGATTTACATTTACAATTTTATTTTTTCATCAGGATTGTTATCACCAAATAATAGTAAAACAATGTTTAATATAGCACAACATTTGCCATCGGTCCTCATAACAAAACGCTTGGAGTCCTTTTGTGTTTCACGAGATCACTGTAATATAATGTTGTCAGATATACCCTTGCACACTTCTACGGAGGGGTACCTTTGCGGTATTATGTACTAAACTTTTCAATTAATTTGTATTCCTGGCAAATCCGCTCTCTGTTTCTTTTACGTTCACAGTCATTTAGGCGCTTTCACATAGTTACTGTGGCAAGTAAAGACGTGTTCAAAGCCAAACCTCGTCATATAATGACATGCAAACCCTACAAACTCACGCGCAAAATTCATCATGATAAACATAAAAGTACATTATGACGAAATTGAAGACCATTCTCGACTTTCTTCTTACTTTTATTTTTCATAAATTGAAAATGAATGCAAGTGGGCAAAAATGAAAAGCAGAGAAAGTAAAATAAAGCAATAACGAAAAAGCAAAAATAAAAAAATTACCAAGAGAAAGAAGAAACGCACTAAGAGGAAGGAAACTGGTCTTCTCAAATAGAAGACATTAAGAGACAATTGCGCCGCCAAAGTACTTCAGCAGAACATTGTCAAGAGATACGACACGGTGGAGAGTGAGCGATCGCATTACAAACCAGCAAGTGATCAGCAAAGGTCGAGGCCGAATTCTGTGGGATAGTGAAATCACTGATCGAACAGTGGATATGTAAATAGAAAGATTAGCTGCGCCCTTGTGAGGTAATATACATAATGTTCGTAGGAAATATCCTAGGAAAAGTCGATGTAATGAACTTTCCCCATTTAAAAAAATAATATTACTACTATTACACAATATACATTACATTGTTATTCTTAGTATTATTAATCAAACTACTAATGCAATATACAATAATATAATACGTAAGCCATTATTATATACCTTACACTACACGCTCTCACAGCATACGCTACCCCAAGACGGACACCAACGCCTGGCAGCCGCCCACGGCTGGCAAGGGCGTTCGCAGGTGGCCGAACTTCGCGTCCTGAATGAGTGACCATCTAGAATGATACGAGTACTACCGGCACTGGGCCCCTGCCCTTTAGGGATACAAGCCAGTGCCTAACGACTCTACGATTGACGTTTGATTGACGATGCTCATGAATAATTACTGCACATTCAATGCCAAAAAGTCTGGAATCTATGTTACACAAGTAACAGAATTAATAAAAAAAGGGCAATAGATTTGCCCGAGGGATAAAGCGAGGGGCCGGACGCCGGGCTTCTGCGATGAGACATGAGAAACGGCGGAATAGTCGAAGTTGCCTTAAATGAACGCGAAAGTGCTCCGCGTCGCCGTGGGCGGCGCCACCGCGGAATGCGACCGCAGCTAGATCTTCGCCCTTCGGCCACACGCCACCTTTTGCCAGACGCAGAGGGATTTGCCCTTCCGCGCCTACGGTCTCCTACTTCCATAAGGGAGAGGAATTACATTGCATGGCGTACAGCAATCCACTGTAGCTACAGATCTCCTGCGCACGCGCAGATGCACAAAAGTGATGTCAACTAACTGCGCAACAGCAGGTAGTTCTGTCGATTAGTGATGCGACATCAATAACAAAATATCGATGTAACTAAATATGGTAGTTTATAATATTGTTGTAACATAAAACAAACTTTAAAAATAAGAATAATGGATGCTCCATGAACGTAGAACAAACAACGTTGTTTGGTTCGTACAAATAAACTGACAATGGTACCATCAGTCATATTTTAACTACACAAACAAAATATTTGAACTATGGAATTTTTTCATTGACAATAAAAGTATCAAAAATATGAAACTTTGCACATAAAACATCAATGTTAAAAAAATCATCGGCTTCAATATATTGACGTTTTGAAATCCTCGACATTGAAATCACATCCCTATTGTCGATTTCTGTAACGCTTCGCAGAGCAAAAGCTCATTCTAGACGGCTTTCTAGTAGTAATAAACATTTGAACTGACCTGGAGAGGTATCCCAAGCGCGCGATCCAGGGGTAAGCGAACACATCCGTGACATTGCCCCCGACGATGCGGTCAATGCCCGGGGGGCTGCAGTAGTCCTCTGGCAGCAGCCTCAGGTTGGGGTGAGCGCTCACGTCCGGAGGCGCGTCGCCCGGTACCGGCGGCGCGGGCGGCGCGGGGCGGTGCGTAGGCGTGGCGCGGGCGTGAGGCGCGTGGAGGAGGGCGGGTGGCGTGGGCGGGCGCGTGAAGCTGCTGCTGGACGTCGGCGGCGTGTGCGGAGCCGCTGGACGGTCGTCGACTGGCCCGACACGCGTCCCGTGCAGCACACGATGGGCACACTGCCGGAGAAGCCGCAGCGGAGGGTGTTCAGGAAGGCGAGGTTTTGCTGCAGAGAAAGAAAAAAAAACCTACACCCCCACCCACCCCACTCATCCACACACACATTCGGATTTATCGCGTCGACGCAGAGAAACTTGTGTCAAGTCTTTAGGTCTGACAACAACCCACGAAAACAAGAAAATACAATCTTTGCGATTAAAGAAACTGATCCTAAGGTTTCCAGAATCTCCCTACTACTGTCCGTTGGTTTGCGGTCGGCCATGTTGCTGATCTCAACACCTCCCAAGCTGATGAGACGAATTAAAGTCGAAACAGTATAGCATAAGATGACATATGAAGAATGTGTTTGCTAGTCTTTGCCAAAGGGTATCTTATTCAAAACACATTGACCAATGGGTCCCAAATACTACTCAGAAATTGTGAGTTTTGGTAGGGTTACCAAGGTCTTGGGATGAATTTTGAACTCAAATCGGCGGTCACTGCAAAATGGGATAAATAAAAAACCCAATTTTGCTAAATCTCCAGAACTCAAAAATTTCTGAGTGGTATTTGGGACCCATTGGTCAAGGTGTTTTAAACAAGATACCCTTTGGCAAACACTAGCAAACGTATTCTTTGGCTTACGCTTATGTCTTTTGCTATACTGTTTCGAATTCGTCTCATCAGCTAGGGAGCTGTTGAGATCAGCAACATGGCAGACCGCATACCCAAGGACAGTAGTGGGAAGATTCTGGAAACCTTCGGATCAAACTGTACTCCACGAAGCATCCGCCTTTGCCTTTTGGCTCACGCCTTTCGGCTTTCGGCTGCAACATTAAAAAGCTGGTTGATGATGACGCAATTTTAGCTTCAGATTCGGATTCAGCGCGTCGACAGCTCAACACGAGTCAGGGTGAAGTGAAGAGTACATTTACGTACCGTAGAGGTATAAATTATTGGTAAATTAAGGAGATGCAGTTAAATGAAGTGAATTGAAAATGAAGTGATGAGCGTGGAAAAGATATGAGGCGCGTTTTGCCAGTCTTTTTTTATTTGTCCATTTGTGATTATTGTTTTTTGAGCATTTGTATTATAGATGTTATTTTATTTTTGGCCATTTCTTTTAATTTTTATATTTGTTCACTTTTTGCTACATTGTCACTGAGTGCATGTTTATTTGCAGTAAATTATTTATTTTTATTATTATTATTATTATTATATTATTATTAATATTATAATAATAATAATAATAATAATAAATAATACATATTTATTATTATTTATTATTTTTATTATTATTAAAACGCCAGATCAGTTATTTGCACATATTTGGTTTTTACTAAAAGCAAATTTCTGCATTATCAGTAAGGAATTAAAAATATGAATGTTACGAAATATTTGTGTCATTCTGTGAGATGGTCATTTCTACTTGCTCGGAATCTCAAATTTACGAAACCAGTTATACGGAAAAGAAATCCATGCAAAAAGTAGACCGCGTTGATAAATGTGTAATTTCCTACCAATTTATGAAATATTTTTCCATGAAAATAATGCAGTAACTCCATTAAACCTCTTTAATCAGATAATGCACCGTTTATCCGTCGAAAACATCATCTTTGGGAAGTCCAGTTTGTGTTTGGGAAATCTAGTAGCGGAAACAAACACCAATATCACATATCAAAAATCATAATTTGTATTTGTAATTTTCTATTTCCTTGAAAATATCGCAAATTCTTTTTTATTTGAAGTGTAACTTAAGTCTAATTACGAATATATTCAAATAATTCATCTAAGAAAACAAACCATGAAGATGTTTCAATTCGTGTAGATCTAGAAATATTAAAACGATTGAACAAAAACTTAAAACAAAAACATTGACATTTTAGTTAACTTAAATAACTGCAAATACAAAAGGAACGTAACAACACTGTTTGTTCATCTGAATCCGAGAGATTCCTCACGTCATTTCTCGGTGTCCTTCACGGAGACTGCAACGCTCGCCTATGAGGAAAGCTCCTGCACGAAACTACGAAGTTTTCAAGGATGGCAATGCCCTAACTTTCTGTGGAAATGAAACATTATTGTTCTTTCTTTTTTGGTCCCTAAATTGCATACTAGTAATCAAATGCCAAGTTAACATCCCATATTTTGATTACGCAAGTTCTATTGTAATGGATAAAAATAATTTAAGAATGTAATTTTGCAGAAAGTTTATTTACGAAGATTGAAGTTTTGTATACCCTTTACTAACTATTCGTGAAAAATATTTGAGATATTTACATTATTCCATAATTATAATAAAAAAATCAGACCAACTGAAACTTTCAGTGACCTTCATGTTATTTTATTTCAAACACCTTTTAAGTGACAATGGTGACAAGACCTGCATGTTCGTTGTCCGCCGATTCAGAACAGTTGTGTACAATTATTTTAAAACGGTTTTCCGTTCCTATAGCTGAAGAGATAATGTTTAAAGAAATCTGCTGTTTTATTACAAACTTAAAAGAAAGAAATACTAGAGTTTACTGCTGATTAACACTGTCACGGAAACTTACAGCTTTCATTTAAGATCATTTTCATGAATAAATATATGCCTTGAAATTGACTTTGTCGAAAAACAGGAATACGAACTGCCACGCGGCTGTTTGTGAATGCGAAAAATCTTTCAATATTTTAGTACAAGAATGCTTGGATTTACAATTATAAATGGGCAATGACGAAGACTCTCTAAAAGCGAGTGATGTGTTGCACTTCACGTTTTTCAGCTCTTTTACTCTTCAGTTGGAATAAGTTTCTCTTCCTGAAGTCTTTGTTCCGTCGCTACCTTTCGTTTATTCAGGTTTCCTTTCCAACAGGAGTTTGTGTCTTCGCTGGATGTTACCGCCCTTGGATCGCCGCCACTGAATTCGTTACCGAGGACATTGAACTACAGACCGTGAGCTGCAACATTACGTCAAATCACGTTAACCTCAACGAACATGAAAACTTGCGCTCTTGCAAACTTTCTCCATCTTTTGTTTACGTTTACGTTCACTTTCGCAGTTTTGAATGCACCTTTTAAGTCCGACTCTTACCGAGTCATTCATGGAACCAGTGCTAAGAAGTTTTATCACATCCTACCCGTCCGCTGAAAGTGGATATGTTCAGGCGCGGCCACCTAGGCACTTTTTTGGTTCAACCGGTGACACGGAAGATGTACCTGAGCCCTTTTTGTGTGTTCCTACTTAGTAAACAGAATTCTATGATTTTGCGTATTTTTTATTCCAATGCTTCAGCATAGCTAAGTGAAATTTTTTTTGACATTTTGTTAGAATATTATGCAATGTAGATGAATATGTTAGTATATATTAGGCCTATTTCTCCTGTCAGTGCATATTCGTATTATTATAGGCGCATATTTTGCATATTTCGTTAAAACAGTGGCTTATCTATAAAACGTTTCACCTTTTCATAGATACTATTAATTTGTGAGGGTTGACAGGAAAGAACTTGTCGCAGTTTGCTCTTTTTGTAGGTTTGTTTCCCCCCCTATAGATGATAAAATACTGGTGGAAATGTAGGATATTTGATAGCATTTTTCAAATCAGTTGAAATACATCAACATATAAAATGTACTTCACTAAGGTGAATATTTACTTCAATTATTTCTCTCCCGAAGATATTATGTTCGCACAAAAATATACATTTTCATTTCAAGCATGCTTCTCCTGAATTCTATGAAGAAAGGTTTCAGAAGAAATGAAATGTTAATTCTAATTGCATATTAAAGCGCATATTTAGGAATTTTTAGTTCATAAATACTAATTTTAAAAGCATATTTCAATATTTTTAAGGCATAAAAATTATCTCCCTAGTATTTACTACTCGTAATTCAGTATGGCCCGTGTGCCCCTAAGTGCCAGCCGGTAATTGACAGCAGGATGGACCATGGCCGCGCCTTGGTGTCCAGGCTGCATCCCGATGGACTACAAGAGACGTCACGGAGTTTCCATCCCCACGTTTACCGGCAGACCAGGCGCGAAGGAAATGACGCCGTCCCGGTGTATCACGCACGTGATTCAGACGCACGATCCTACGCGCCCCAAACGTGCCAGGAACAAAGGGATGACATGGGAGGGGTTAAGGTACGTGCGTCCACGGCCACTAGGCCGGCCTCTCTTGCACGGTGTCGGAGGTCCCATCAAACAGCATGGCACCATGGCTTTGTGTAAACGTTACTCCACGCATACGTTTAATATTCATAGGTAATAGCATTGCATCCGGCTCATTTCAGAAATGGGAGACTTCACCGCAACCAGAATATCCATGTCGTCGACCTTGAAGTACTCCTCGCTCTTCAGCATAGGGCGTTAAGTGGTCTCCGTAGCAAATGATTTCTGGGAAGACGATGTCTGAATGACGCAACAAGACGCTGTATCTTGCCACCTAATGGCCCATTCTCGTGTAACCTCAAAGCTCGAATCGTGCGTCTGCTTGTTCAGACGTATTCCATGTTCTTCGGATCGTTACGGCTGCGCACACGATGCTAGTACAAGCAGCTAATACTAGCGGGTGGCTAACTTTATAAGTTGCTAATTATTGCTGACGTTCGAAACGCTCATCTTTTCAAGGCATGTCACGGGTGAGTTTTGGGGTAGGGAAATGCGAGACCCCGTCTCCCCAGAGGTACCTTCTCTTCACCCAGAAGCTACGAAAATAAATGTTTAAATCCACTAACGCGCAAGACATTCCTGTCAGTTCAACTAGCTTCTAGTTCGTTCCCACAACGTTAATATGCTTGCCGCCAATCAACTGAACTGACTTTCCCAGGGAATGGTTCGGTTCGGTTGGGTTGGATCAGGGCAAAATCTTTTGCCACTGCAACCATTGTGTAGGTGGTGGTAGAAGGTCTTACTGCTACTTCCCGCAATGAAACTTGCACTAAACGTACGGAACCAATAATAGTTGACGTACCCGGAACAAAAACTATTGAGCAAATCGTTTCTACGTCAACGAAACGTGTTTGGTGAATACGGAGCACTCTTTCTCGAGAAAATATTTTTAATGACGGCTTCCATACCTTAGAATTTAGTCTTAAATTTATTATTTATCTATGAAAACAAGTTTATTATTTGATTGCCTTTGCTTTTTTTTACCCATGTGTGTTTATTACATTTGTGACTATATTCAGTCACGTGTGTGCACTTGTGGCATGGACTTTGCTGGCGATATTTTGTATGATCGTACTGTCCAAATAAAAATGATTTTGAAATTTCATTAAACCTGATTTATTTTACTAGTTTGTATAATGATTATCCAAAAAGCGCTATTTTCATTCCTATCCCAATATTTGACTAAGTTTCATTTATTTTTCCAAGGACGTATTGTTTACCATAAACCATACATTTTTAATATTGTAATAACCATTTTTTTCTTCAATTGAATAATATTGAGCCTAATTGGTTAAAAATGTATACAAATTATCACCTAGTTTATTCATTAAATTAATTGAATCGGTTTATTACAGTAAGAATGGTATAAATTACTAATATTTTCAATAAACTACCAAAATCGTGTGCAGCGTTGTGAGTTTGACGTTTCGAAGCGATGTGTTGATCAGGTAACGGAGCAGGTGTGATAAAGGAATGACCTCCTGCTCTGCCTAGCTCTTGTGGGAACACTAACGTTTTCCTAACGAGAGAAACCTTAGTAATGATTTCACTTTCATCCTAATCTAATCTTTCGTGTTCTTTCTGCAGAGAGACTGTACTAAGTAAATTTGCGTATATTTGCTTGGTAAAATAAACAAATCCTTATGACAGTCAATAGTGATGCAAATAAACGGAGAACATAAATCATTTATAGACAATAAAATGTAGGAACTTCTCAGATCGCGAGACATTTACTTTCCTTAATATAAAACAACGCTCCTTAATGCAACTACATTTTCAGGTGGAGGCTCTGTAAATTTACAATAAATGTTTATTTACTTATATTTTTCTGTATATTAGTAATCCGATACTCCAGCTCCTATAGAGTTGGGGTAACATTGAACTTGCCGACATAAAAACCAAGGATATACCGGTTTACGAACAGTGATATAATCATTTTTAATAAATTAATTATTTTTATGTGTTGTATTGTGCTCTTTACTTCGATTAAAATGAAAAATTCACATTTTTCAATTTTTTGAAATTGTAAAGTAAAAATACAAGACCTTTACGCTTATTCATTTAACTGCAAACGCGTTTTAAATTCACGAGTATTAATATTATACTAATTTCTTTAAGGAACGAGAATTTTTTTGTGCGAATTGATATTATTCTAGAGTGCTTTTGTTGGTGAACAAGTGTTGGTGAGGCAAGGATGTAATCGTGTAATGAATTATTAAAACACAGGTATTTGGGAGGTTCCCGCCAAGCGCTGCCAGTGATGTTATTGCAACATTGTCTGGTCAGCACCAATAGTGAAACTAAATGCAGCAGCAACAAGGAAAAGATGCCACCCAGTTATTAGTTTTGTAATTTAATGCAAACTACCACGTAGTTTCCAACACTTAATTACATAATATTCAATTATACTATTTCGCAAGGCTTTGCCTGCAGGTCATAGCAGAACCAATTTACGGTCACGAATTATATGAAGAAAAACTGTCGATTTCAACGCATCGTTTTGACAATGCCATAGTATATTTTCCTAAATAAAATTTTGCATGTAGGTTGGGAATCCAACATTAAGCTCATTGATCAATAACACGAAAAAACTATTCCCTATTGACTCTTTCCTTTTCTATCCATGGTACAAAGAGACTAAGGTTAAAATATCCATGTGAGGATGTCCAGTAACAGAATGGTTCAATTACCGAATGTCAACTTAAAAACGTCCAGAGGAACAAATATTTAAGCAAATTATTATCTGAAAGTGTTTCGGTCTTTAAAATTAAGAAATGTATACACACGAAGAAATAGTAATAAGTTATTACATTAAAATAAAATATATTATGAAGTTTCCGCAGAAGTGAAGAACATTAATTAAGAAAGTATTGTAACGCTATGCAACCGGGCGGTGTAAAAATTACGCCGCCTGTAAACTAAAAAAAAAATTATAACAAATCAAAGCACAGAAAATTTAGTGCGGAAGTATAGGGTGTACAAGTACTATAATGCTATTAAAATCTACTTTGTTTATGTAATGCATAAGCTAAAAAAATTAATAGCTCTCAGAAAGAGGATCTCTACTAAAACATTACGATGGATCATTTTCTATTCCAGACTCTTTCGTAATAAAATGAACAGTTAATGAGTATTTTAAGTGAACATTAATTTCAAGGAACATTTCTGTACGTTTTACGAGTGGAAATTTGATAAATATTCATTTTGGTTAGACATTGTAACGTGTAATCTAATGCAAATATAACGTCTAACGCAATATTACGTGGGACAGGATACCCCCCGGTTTCGAGCTTGACGAACCATCCTTTGAAATGTGACGAATAAATGAGTGAGCGAGTGAATGAATGAAATAATTATTGAATTAACAACTACAGTACAAAGGTGGAAATCGTGACTGTTGTACACTCTTTCTTCGTTTCGAATTTTAAGGTTTTGAGTGGAAGTCAATCCGAGGGTGTAAGGTAGGAGGCCGTCTATACAACAAAGTTCAGCACCATTTTATAGTCTCCAAATTAAATTGATTCTCCAAGGAGTTCTAATAGAGTAGTGGATCTCAAATTTATATTATTTCAACTTTAGCAACTTTCTCGCGGACCCCTTCAAGAGAATAAAACTGACATGTAAAGTAAATTTGTAAATCTGCTAGATCAGTGGCGTACCGTTCGGTCCCGCAATGCGGGCGGACCCTGGTAAAAGAGGACCTACTTTTAGACGGAAAGTTTTGAGATTGTAAGAAATATTAATTACTTGATACTTTCTCTGATACTTAGCTTTAGTTGTTACTATAAAAGATTAAAACAGCATCTTCCGGAAGAAAGATTTTTTTCCAATTCGGTAGCTTATGTAACCGTGTTTCTAAATCAATAAAGGTACGCAATTCATTTAGGTTTTATAACAGTCTTAATCTCATAAAATTAAATAATAAAACAAGATGTTGCCACTGGGTTTTCCTATTTGTTATTAGTCAGAACTCTCTTTGTTACACTACTGTGCTAAATGAATGATGGTTGTGCATGATTTCTGGTTTCTCGAGACGATTTCCACGCACTGAATAGATGATAATTCTATTCTGCAAAGTAATTAGCACTAAAAATAGTAAAATATTTAGGATATTTAAGATTTCTGAAGAATAGAAAAGGACACGCCTGAAAAAGAAAGCCTAGAGAAACGAAACAAAATCTTTTATTGTATTAGTAAATAACGCCTCCACTCAGGGCCGGCGGAAGAGGTGGGTTCGGTGGGTAGTACCACCACCCACGTGAAATTAGTCCAGGCGAGTAATTACCGCCTATAATTTTGAAGAAAAATTCAAAAAAATACAATTTACTACATTGATCACGTTGATCGATATTTACAAAAATGTTAAACAAGTACACATTTTATATCGTTATGTTTTTCTTTAAGAACAAAAAATATATGACCCCCACCCATGGTACTACCCATCCGAAATTTTAAAGTTTCGCCGGCTATGCCTCCACTCAAGGATGAATAATGAAATAATTTTTGAGAAAAAAAAGTATATTTATTCTACATTCGCGGACCTCTTAGAAACTCTATCACCGACGGAAGCTTCCTTCGCTACTTTGGGAACAGTTTATTGGATATAATTAGATGTTTCTGGGAAGATGGTTCCGTTGACTGTCAACGCGGCACTGCCAAGAACAACACTCCGCCCCCGCCAGCACTATGATGCCTGCCACAGTTTCATGCGAAACTTATGAACCACGGCCTACAAACGCGGAAACTTCTAATTAGGTAGAACACAGGACGTGAAAGCCTACATAGTATATTAGTTTATTGCATAGTTGGGAAAATGAGTTATTACCACCGTCATTCAACTTATCAGCACTTGATAATCATCCGTTACTCACCTGCGATGGGCGCTGAGAGACCAGGTTCAACAGGGAAGGGCATTTCCCGATGACGAGGCAAACCCCGCGCACCCTTTGGGGGGTCAAGCACTCGTCGCCCTCGTAGCCACGGATGTAGTGCGCGCCGGCGGCAGGAGAGGTCGACCTCAGGAGGCACAGCGCCACCAACACCGCTATTCCAGGCTCTCGGCTACCGCAGGAGGGCGACATGGTCTGAAACCGAAGGCGAACAAAAACATTGTCTAAAACCGAAGGCGAACAAAAACATTGTCTAAAACCGAAGGCGAACAAAAACAATTTTTATAAACGTCATAAAGAGTATCAACTTCGTGTTAATTCAACATTTAAATTACATACTTTATTATTAAAAGAAACTCTCTCTTTCAGTTAAAAAATGTCATAAAAAGCAATGAAAATATCTAATCCTTTGTTAAAAAACACATTTTCGAAAGCTTCACTTTTAAAACCATTTCATATTATTTTAAATATTTGTTTTATTAGAACCTTAATGTATTAAAAAAGTCAGATAAAATTTAAAACGAAATTTGGTCAGGGAATAATTTTTTAGGAAGTGAACATTTTACAACAGAAAATTTAAGTTGCACAATTTAAAAGCACAAATTTATAAAAGAAATGTTCAGAAAATGTATTTCTAATTTTATTCCATTGGAAGTCTATTATAAGACACCAGTATTTACCAAGAATTACCATTTCAATGAAAAAAAAGTTTAAATATTGTAAACCTGTGGAATACATTTTTTTAACTTCATTCTTTATATCATTCTGATAGTCTGCGTTCTCATGAATTAAAATGTTTTTACTCAATATTGCCTCCAACACAGGTTTGCTTTTCTTGCAAGTATTGTTATAAACTCGTGAAATCTAGACGCTATTTTATAAATATCATTACGGCCGTCGTAAAAAGTTTCACTTGCAGGAAAAGTGACACTTAAAATCAGGCCAACAGAACAATCGTCAGTTTTCCATATAATAGAAGTCTTCCGAGGAGAAAGTAAAGCACTAATTCTCCTTGGTAGTAAATTTTGAACTACAAGTGCAAGTTTTCCATATTATAATATTGACTATTTGGGTTTATTTTCTTTCATGATCTCAAAAAAGATAATTTTTAATTGGGTACCTCTTCTATTTACAGAGTGAAACAAAAGATAGTAACAATTTAACATTGCGTAAACATTTATGCATAAAAATGACAGTTTTAAAATTTAATATTGGCGTTATCGATTTTGACACACTATGAAACAGACATTAAATTGAAGATTGAAAGTTCAAAGATTCCAAATTCTAACCCTTTGAAACTCGGCACCCATTATTTCAAATCACGAATAAAATTACAAAAAACAATCTTACTACAAATTATAGGAGCGATTTTACCCACGTGATTTACGATCACTTTATATATTTTGTATACAATTCATCTCCCCAATAACGTCACAAAAATGCCGTACTTGCGTGAGCTGGGCAGAGCGGTGTGTCGCGGTGCGGGCGGTGCGGTGCGGTGCGGTACCGTGCGCTCGCGGGTTCGTCTGCTGGGCGACTGCGAGGCGCCGAGTGAAGTCTTCCGTGTGGCGGCGGCTGCCGCCGTCTGTGCAACCGGTTTCGTCACAGCTCGCGCCGCGTGGTTGCAGCACAAGACCCTCCACGAGACTCTTCGCTCGCAGGGGTCGACAAGCAAACACTCATTTCTATAGTCAACTAGGAGCAACTGACAAGGAACGGATGTTTTCCGCTGAATGCCATCATTGCAATTGAATATAGTCGGCGGGAGTGTGAAGATGCGAACTCACTATGTGTAGATATCTTCGTTGTACACTCTTGGTTCCAGCAGCAGTCCGAAACAGTACCGAACTACCCGCATGCGCAGTCTAGTGTTGGCCGTTTCAGCAGTCAGTGATTGTGATTGGGATTTGGGCGTTACAGTACGGTTGCTGAGTAGTTTTAAACCAGTCCGAAACAGTCCGAATCAGTCAGTGCACTCCCCCTCAAACTAGAAATCCGCGCATGCGTATTGCGTACCTCGGACCCCTAGTTCCCGCCAACCCCAAACTTCGACGTCGCGCCATTTACGTTTCCGTCAGGTTTCTGCATAGTTATCTTTGTTTCGCTCTATATATTTTGATCCTGCTTTGTTTTTTATTGATTCTTTGGTGATTTCGCTTTTTTTCGGATTTTTCTCGTGGGTATTGGAATTTAATCCAATTTTATTTTACGTTTCATTGCATCTTGGATATTGGTGACTTACCTATCTTCCGGATTTTCTTGTGGATATTAGAACTTGATATTTTTCTTTTGGGAAATGAAAGGTGTAATTTATAGGAAGTTCCTTGTATCGTGACTTACTAAACATATATGTAGTTCTTTACCATTCTGTATTGTTAGCGTATTATTGTTTCAGATTTAGATGTTGTTTCTTCATTATCCTTGCCTTTTACTGACCTAAAAATGGGTTTGGTTATTAAGTTATGCCGGGAATACTCTTTATTTTAATATGACTACTAATACTTTCGAGATTTTTTTATATTGGATAATATTATACTTAGTATTCTTCATTGTACTTGTTGGTTACTTGCATGCACCGTAATGTTCACTTCTGTACCCAATTTGTAATTGCTACCCTTCATACTTCATACATATGACAAATTGCATTCACTTTTTGTTTATCCAGTACCCTTGTGTTCTCATTAATTTGAATGATTAAGTACATTGGCATTCATTTTTGATTATACATGATGGTATTTTTATGTATTAGCATTATTTTGTATTTGTGTATATGCTACTTCTTTGAGTCTTCTGTGGCTTTACTCCTCTCTCCTTGGCTCATTGTATCACTTGGCTGTGTGATCAGCAAAAATAATTCTAAGTTAAATTTTTTTATAATGTTTTGTTTGTTTTCCTTTATTTTAATTCTTTATTTTT